GTGGGGTCCACTGGTCCAATGGTGCAAGGTGCACTGGTGGGCTCAGGTTGCTGGGCCCTAGCCGCTCCTGCTGCCTCCTCCCAGAAAAGACGAGGGATCTTCCAAAATGGGGGTCTTCTGGCTGTGCATGGAGAAGTGCCCTGATGAGGCGGTAGCTAGCTCCTCCCCGTCCACAGTACAGGAACACTCTGCCCCACATTTCTGCACTGCTTGAGGTTGCTCGTCCACACTCACATCCATTCCACTCTCTCTCACACTAACTCACACTCTCACACTCACCCTTGCTCTGGTCCTGCCTGCTGCCATATTTTCTCTCCACTTGTCTTATTTTCTTAACAAGATCTTATGCAAACATTTTTCATTTTAAAGTACAATTTATTGATTCTTCCTTTTATGGATCATGCTTCTGGTGTCAAGTCTTAAGAACTCTTTACCTGGCTTTAGATACCAAATACTTTCTTAGGTTTTTGCTAAAAGTTTTAATTTTCCATCTAAGTGTTTTATTAACTTTGAGTTAATATAAAGTTTGAAGTTTAGGTAGAGGTTAATCTTACTTATGGATGTCCAATTGCTCCAGCATCATTTGTTTAAAAGGCTATCTTTCTTCCATTGAATTGCTTTTGCACCCATGTTAAAAACCAGTTGGGTCTACTTTTGTGTTCTTTATTCTGTTCCATTGATCTGTATATCTATCCCTCTGCCAATACCACTGTCTTGATTACTGTAGCATATAATACATTTTGAAATCTGGTAGAGTGATTGCTCCTACTTTATTCTACATTTGTTTGAGATTATTTTATTTACATTAGTTCCTATGCCTTACCACATGAATTTTTTTTATTTTTATTTATTTTTAAAAATTTTTATTGTTGAATGTAAAATGTATTACAGATGTTCCACATTTTTACCCCATTGACCCTCTCCTCCCCAATCCCGCCCCCCTCCCGCCTTTTCCCACACTTTGTCTATCTCCATTGGTTATGCATATAAGTTCTTTGGTTTATTTCTCCCCCCACCCCAACCCCTTTCCCTTTGAGGTTTGTCAGTCTAGCAATGAATTTGTACTTCTTAATCTCTTCACTTTTTTCACCCATTCCCCCAACCCCCTTCCCAACTGGCAACCAACACAATATTCTCTATATCTATGAGAATGTTTCTGTTCTACCTGTTCATTTTGTTTGTAGATTCCATTGTTGATAGATATGTATTCATTGCCATTTTGTGTGTTCATATATTTTATCTTTTTCTTCAAAAAGACCCTTCAGCCCTGGCCAGTTTGGCTCAGCGGTTAGAGCGTCGACCTGCGGTCCCGAGAGGCCCAGGTTCGGTTCCCGCTAAGGGCGCGTACCTCGGTTGCAGTTTGTCCCCGGCCCTGGTTGGTCGTGCGGGTGGAAGCCACTTGATGTGTCCCTTTCACATCGATGTTTCTCTCTCTCTTTCTCTCTCTCTCTCTCTCTTTCTCTCTCTCTCTCTCTCTCTCTCTCTCTGTGTGTGTGTTCCTGTCTCTCCCTCCCACTCTACCAGAACAAAAAAGGAAAAATGTCCTCGGGTGAGGATAAAAAAATAAAAAATAAAAAAAATAAAAAAGACCCTTCATCATTTCATATAATGACGGTTTGGTGGTGATGAACTCCTTTAACTTTTTCTTGTCTGGGAAAGTCTTTATATAGCCATTGATTCTAAATGACAGCTTTGCAGGATAGAGTAATCTTGGTTGTAGATTCTTGCTTTTCATCACTCTGAATATTACTTGCCACTCCCTTCTGGCCTGCAAAGTTTCTTTTGAGAAATCAGCTGACAGCCTTATGGGAACTCCCTTGTAGGTAACTAGCTACCTTTCTCTTGCTGCTTTTAAGATTCTCTCTGTCTTGAACCTTTTGCATTTTGATGATGATGTGTCTTGGTGTGGGCCTCTTGGGGTTCATCTTGTTTGGGACTCTCTGTGCTTCCTGGACTTGTATGTCTGTTTCCTTCACCAAGTTAGGAAAGTTTTCTGCCATTATTGTTTCAAACAGGTTTTCGATTTCTTGTTCTTGCTCTTCTCCTTCTGGCACCCCCAAGATGCGAATGTTGGCATGCTTGAAGTTGTCCCAGAGGCTCCTTACACTATCCTCATTTTTTTGGCTTCTTTTTTCTTTTTGCTGTTCTGATTGGGCATTTTTTGCTTCCTTATATTCCAAATCAATGGTTTGCTCCTTGGATTTACGTACTCTATTATTGAAGCTGGTTAAATTATTCTTTATTTCAGTTTATGCCTCTTCAATTCTAACTGTGCATCCATGATTTCTGACTGGTCCTTTTTTACGCTCTTGAGGCCCTCACTAAGTTCACCGAGGTTCTCACTAAGTTCATGGAGCATCCTTATAAGCAGTATTTTGAACTCAGCATCTGTTAGGTTGCTTATCTCCATTTCGCTTAGTTCTTTTGTTGGGGTTTGTTCTGTTCTTTCATTTGGGACCTGTTTCTTTGTCTCCTCATTTTGGCTGCCTCCCTGTGTTTGTTTCTGTGTATTACTTAACGAGAGGTATGGGGCTAGCTGAGACCAGATGCTGCTCGTTTGAAAGAATTTAGGAAAAACCTGAAGCAGGATCCAAGACAGGCCAATCCTATGGTTAAGCAACTGGCAACAGCTTGGGTGGGCCTGAAAGTTGGGTGGGGTAGGGCAGGGCATCAGGGAATCACCAGTGTGGGGCTACCAGTGTGAGCCAGGTTGCTGGAGTCTCAGATATGGCTTCTGTCTGCCGCCCCAGGGAAGGGCTCACCAAAGGAACAAAGGCCTCTGACAGCACGTTTGTCCTGGGGAAAATCCCCTCTCCAGCCCTCGCTCCAGTGCCAAACAGCTTAGTTCTTCCCTGTATGTCTCTGGTGCCCCTTGAGCTGCCTCCCCTCCAAGCTTAGAGGGAGAGAGTTCGATAAGTTCGTGCACCGGCCCTTTAAGGAGCTGTCTGGGGCTCCAGCCGCTTCAGCTCCCCTGAGCCTCAGTTCCCACTGGTTTTTCCAGCTAGAAGTTATGGGGATTCTCTTCCTGGCACTGGAACCCTGAGCGGGGCACCTGGTGTGGGACGGGAACCCCTCAGTCCTCAGGAAGGACTTTCCCAGCCGAGGTTCCCTCCTGATTTTTATCTGCCACACTTGGGTGTGGGACCAGCCCGTCACACTGCTGCCGCCGCCCCTCGTGCCTCCACCCCTCCTACCAGTCTGGATGTGGCTGCTGCTTTAATTCCATAGTTGCAGGACTTCCATTCGGCTTGATTTCAGGCGGTTTTGAATGATGATTGTTCTGTAGTTTAGTTGTAACTTTGATGTGGTTGTGGGAGGACGCGATACCGCGTTTACCTACGCCGCCATCTTGACCGGAAGTCCCCCACATAAATTTTTAAATAATCTTGTCTAAATTTACTAAATATCTTGTTGGATTCAAAGTATAGATCATAGAGCCCTGGCTGGTTTGGCTCAGTGGTAGAATGTTGGCCCGTGAGCCAGAGTCACAGGTTCAATTCTGGCCAAGGGCACGTACCTCAGTTGTGGTTCGTCTCTGGCCCTGGTCGGGATCATGCAGGTGGCAACCAGTCGATGTGTCCCTCTCAGGTCCATGTCTCTCTCTCTCCCTTTCTCTCCCCTATTCTCCCTCCCATGCTATCTGAAGATAAATAGAAAAAAAACTATCCTTGGGTGAGGATAAAAACAACAACATATAAGTGATTTTCAACTTTTTTCATCTCATGGCACACATAAAGTAATTACTAAAATTCTGTGGCACACCAGAAAATATATTTTTTGCTGATCTGACAAGAAACAGGGGTAATTTTCATTCATTCATATTGGACAACTACTGCTGTGTTGGCTCTTTTCCTTTTTTTTTTCCAATCTAAGGGAAAAGAGGTCAGTGCTCCTGACTAGTCAGGTATTGCATGTTTTAAAAATTATTGCAGCACACCGGTTCAAAATCATTTGTATAAAGTATTTGGCAATGTGGATAACTGCCAGAGTTTATATGTATAGTACCTAGCTACACAAAAACAAGATGGAAAAATAATCTCTACCTATATGTAAGGCTTGGGAGATTTTTGTATCCCAGTTAAAAACAAAAAAAAAAATCAGAATTGAATACTGAAGCTGCAATAAAATCTACCTTCATACATCTAATCTACAGTAAGTGAATGATCATTTACACATCAGGAAAGCTTCAGTCCTTTTATTCTGCCCATTTTCTAAAAGCCAAAGAGAACCTTAAATTGCTTTAAGGTTCTCAAAAGTCAACTATAAAAATTAGAGGCTTTTAAAATTTTTTGTTCTTGCCCTGGCCAGTTTGGCTCAGCGGTTAGAGCGTCGGCCTGCGGTCCTGAGAGACCCGGGTTCGGTTCCTGCTAAGGGCGCGTACCTCGGCTGCAGTTTGTCCCTGGCCCTGGTAGGTTGTGCGGGTGGCAGCCACTCGATGTGTTCCTTTCACATCGATGTTTCTCTCTCTCTCTCTCTCTGTTTCTCTCTCTCCCTCCCACTCTACCTGAACAAAAAATGGAAAAATGTCCTCGGGTGAGGATAAAAAATAAAAAATTTAAAAAATTTAAAAAAATAAAATTTTTTGTTCTTGAAAATGCACATCAGAATTTCAAGAGAATATCTTTTTATTCAATGACGGGTTTTTTCAATGTTTTTATTGATTTTTTTAGAGAGAGAAGGAGGGAAGGAGAGATAGAAACATCGATATGAGAAACATTAATCTGCTGCCTCCTGCATGCTCCCTACTGGGGATCAAGTCCGCAACCTGGGCATGTGCCCTGACCGGTAATGGAACCAGGACTCTCAGTCTATGGGGCTCAAATCCACTGAGCCACACCAGCTGGGCAGAGTTTTTTAATACAAATACTAGCATGAAATAAATCCCAAGTACATTTAATTTTTTTAGTATAATTTATTCTTATTACATTTTAGTTAACATTTATTGTCTTAAGACTATTACACTCAAGGTAATAGAGCTCCAGAGATCAGCCATTAACTAAGAAGGGTACAGTCTCACTTAGTCAGTGTGTCAACTTGCTAGTTAGCTTGTAGGCCTTCTCATTACACATACTTGCTCTCTGTGGTTATTATATGTAACTGTCTTCAAGATGTGGCTGAAGCTTGAATCTATATCTGGCATCAGGCCAAGTATGGGAATCTGTGAATATGGGTACAAATAGCATTTAGAGTATAGCCAGCGAAGGATTCTTTCCTGGCAGTCAATGATGATGAATCTAGAAAGACTGGCTATGCCCTGGCCGCTTTGGCTCAGCAATTAGAGCACTGGCCTGCGGACCAGAATCTCGGGTTCAATTCCGGTCAAGGGTACCTACCTCAATTGTGGTTTGTCCCTGGCCCTGGTAGGGGTTGTGCAGGAGACAACCAGTTGATGTGCCCCTCTCACGTCGATGTTTCTCTCTCTCCCTCCCTCCCTCCCAATCCATCTGAAGATAAATAGAAAAATATCCCAGGTGAGAATTTTAAAAAAAGACTGGCTATTCTCTTGGGAGAAGAAAATATATCCCAACTTGAGTGACAGTTACAGTTTAGTAATAGAAAAAAAAAAAATCAGCAAAGGGAAAGAGTCAATAAGGAGAGAAAAAATACTCTGAGAATAAAGTACAATATATACACACTACGGTGAATAGTGAGACTTCTGAGTCAAAGCTCTTACTTTTACTTTTAAAAGTCTGATAAAAATTTATTCAATTACATTTTATACAGTAATATTTGGTGAACCCTGTTCAAAGGGTTATGTTTTAAGTTCATATGTAAAAATAACAAAAGCTTATCACTCAGTCTCTGGTTAATAAGAAAGGAAGGAAAAAAACCTTGCCAGAAATAGCAATAAATAATTTCACACAAAGGCCAGGTGACATAAGAATATTATATTAATCAATATATTTTCTTTGTATTTACAATAAATCCATTTGTTAACACTGTGATAGAAAAAATAATAAATCAGTCCACATTATGTAATAGAAACAGGTTTTGAGGATGATCATAGCTCTCACAATAAAAACATACAAGGATTTCTCCCACAGTTAAAGAACTTTTCAACATGACAGTCTTAGGTGAAGGTAAAACTGACAGAGTACTTCAGATTAGTTATGTCCTAGAATCAAGTGTATTACCATTAAGCAAGCAGCAAAATGCTTGTTTCATTTTTCTAGAACTATTTAAATATAGTAGTTACCATGTGAGAAGTTAACTATACTTTGAGTTATAAAAAGTAAAAACATTAAATTGGAAAACTGCATTAATCAAAAGTAGCCCCAAACAAAAAAAGCCATCAACAGAAATGGAAGAAGGCATTCTTATATCATGCATAAAAGAAGGATAATTATATAATACATACTTTAATGACCAGATTAATAAATAAATGAGGTAAATTTTAGTCCTTGGAACAAATAAAGTATATTTAACCACTTAAGTGTTATGCTGTCACGGTTTCAAAATATAAAGTAATATAATTAATCTAACATGTAAAAACTCCATATGTTGAATGCCTATTTTTTTAATCCCCTTTTGAGATAGTAAAAGGGAATTGTGTAACAAAATATTATCTGAATATAAATTATCAACATCAATACGATATAATTATCATAAAATCATCATTTTGTATATGCACAATGGAAATATTGTGAAAGCTAGAAAAGAAAAGATAAAAATAGACTCATCAGAATTTTAAATTTCAAACTAATCCATGATAATCTGGAACAGAAAAATAAAATAAAATAAAATTCACTAAATGGCCCTGGCCGGTTTGGCTTAGCAATTGGAGCGTTGGCCTGTGTACCAGAGAGTCCCAGGTTCGGTTCCCGCTAGGGGCACGTACCACCAAAAAAAAAAAAAAAAAAAAAATTCACTAAATAGATATAACTTGATACCCTTTCCCAATTCAGTAGTACACTAAGATGCAACTTCTAAGCAAATCCATTACCTCAAAGGTAAGAGGAAAATGTAAACTCTCTTAAATACTAGTTTTTAGATTATGCTCTGAAAAAAAGGCTAACAGCCAGAACTATAATACTATTTTTAAAAATCTAGAATTTTTGCTTTTGATATCTATTTTAATTATTAGTAAAGGATAAGAGAGAAAAATATTAAGATACCAAGCCAAAGATAAGTATCTATAGCCAGCTCATGAATATATTAAATTGAATGAATCAATTGGGTCAAAACTTTCCTACTAATGCTGTTACTAATTATTTATACCTACCCTAAGAATAATAATTTAGAAGATGGCTACTGTAAGTACTGACAGTACTTTTCATGGTATATCAATTTCCATTCTTTTTTCTCTCTCTTGCCACTTAAAGGCATTATTTTAACTATCTGATAGGAAATTTTATTTTACAAATTCCTTGTTTCAATTACTGAAGAGGTGATTTTAACACATAAACCTGCCAGTCCTGAGATGATAATGATGATGATGATGATGGTGATGATGATGATGATGATGTTGATGATGATAGGAAAACGAAAACCCAGATGATTTTTTACTCAAATTTCTGCTTTAGTTTTTTTTGGAAGATGGCTGGCAGTATAGAAAGAAGAGCCAGAATCATTAGAACAAATACTGAGTTCCAGGAAACAGCTTCCCCTGCTGTTGTAAGCTGGTACAGTGTTGTTCCTGCCTTAATGGCTATAAAAGAGGGAGGTGCGACACCTATAAAAAACAAAACCAAAAAAACAGTAAAAACCATCAATTGTTTGTCTCTTAAGATTAAAGTTATCCACATGTATAAAATTTCTTTAAATACAGCAATCTCCACTTTGGAAAATTTTAATGTAAAGCTCTTCAAGTTTATTTTCATATAAAGAATTAAAAATTTCATAATCACCTTTTAAGGAAATAAATCTAAGAACCCAATAAAGGTTTCCAGAAAAAAATTTTACATTTATGAACAACCTTAAAAAAACAATGCACTCTGATCCAGCAATTTCAACTTTAGCAAATAATGTGTATGAGCAAAGATCTAATCTCAAGGATGTTCATCAAAGCATTGTAATAAAAATATCTGGAAATAATCTACATATTCTAAAATAACTGTCATTCACCCTTGACATAATATACCTAAAATAAAAATAGTGGTAGTACACTCAATGAATGGATTCTCAATATACTAGTAAAAAGAATGGAACATATGCAAAATGATCATATTTCATTAAAAGCCAGAACCGACCACCTTGGCCAGTGTGGCTCAGTTGGTTGGGTGATGTCCCATGCACTGAAAGGTTGCAGGTTTGATTCCAGATCAGGGCACATGCCCAGGTTGTGGTTCAATCCTCAGTAGTGGGTATGCAAGAGGCAGTCTAACAATGTTTCGATTTTACATCAATGTTTCTCTCTTCCTCCCACCCTCTCTCTCTAAAAATCAATTAAAAAAAAAAAAAAACCAGAACTGAAAAAATTGTTTTAGCCAAACCTGAAGTTAACTAAATCTCTAGGTATTTAATTTGTAAAATAAGGAGGTATGGACAAAATTCCTCTTTTTTTTTTTTTAATCCTCACCCGAGGACATTTTTGCATTTTTTGTTCAGACAGAGCAGGAGGGAGAGAGAGGGAGAGAGAGAAAGAGAAACATCGATGTGAAGGGACACATCGAGTGGTTGCCACCCGCATGACCAACCAGGGCCGGGGACAAACTGCAACCGAGGCACATGCCCTTAGCGGGAACCGAACCCGGGTCTCTCTGTACCGCAGGCCGACGCTCTAACCACTGAGCCAAACTAGCCAGGGCCAAAATTCCTCTTTTGATTCCATAAACATTAACATTAATTTACAAAATCCAAAATTACCCCTGCTGAAATTTTTAAGTTTGTCAATGAATTTTTAAGTAGCAATAAAATTTTATTTCGATTATTCATTTCAAAAAGATCTATTCTCACAAGTATTAATTGATTAATTTATTTTCATTAATCCTCACCCAAGAATATTTTTCCATTGATTTTAGATAGTGTGGAAGGGAGGGAGGGGGAGAGAGAAACATCAGTGTGAAAGTGACACATTAATTGGTTGCCTCCCTCACAACCCTGACCCAGGCTGGGGAACCTGCAACCCTTCAGTCCAAGGGCCAATGCCCTAACTGCTGAGCCAAACCAGTCAGGGTAATTTATTGTTTTAATTAAATTTATTGGGGTGACACAGGTTAATAGGATCATATAGGTTTCTGGTGTGGATTTCTAAGTTACAAAATCTGTATATTGTACTGTGTACCCACCACCCAAAGTCAAATCATCTTCTGTCACCATATATTAGGTCCCCTTCACCCCTACCCCTCCTACCCCCTTCCCTCTGGCAACCACCACACTGTTGTTTATGTCTACCAGTTTCAGTTTTATATCCCACATATGAGTAAAATCATGTTTCTTATCTTTTTCTGCCTGACTTATTTCACTTAGCATAATATTCTCAAGGTCCATCCATGTTGTTGCAAATGGCAGTATTTTGTCTTATGGCTGAGTAATATCCCATTCAAAAGTATTAATTCAAATGGATATTCAATACACAAAAAGTCTGCTCATTTTGTTGGGAGCAAAACAATTCAACTTAAATTTGAAAGAAAAGCACAATACTCTTGTGAAAAAAAAACCATTAGAATTCATAAAATATATAAATGAATCTTAATGTCCACAATTAATTTTAAAATTAAGTGCAGCACTTGAAAGCAAAACATTTGTTAGTATAATAAATACTGATTTCAATGAAATTAAAAATAGGATCAATTCTCTACTGAAAATTAAAGTTCAATATTTCAGTGCTTGATTAGAGGACAAAGAAATAAATTATTCAAAAAAGGCATCTTGATTTTTTTCTCTCTCCAATGAACGAGAGAATGGAGTTTTAAAATCCTGCTGAATCCTGCATGATTAAAAAAATATCCAGCAGAAACTGCTCCTTTTAAAAAGAAGTAATACAAAAATACTTAAATTAAGACAATCCAACAAACATTTCTGAGCATCTATTTATGTAGGCCAGGCTCTGTGCTGTGGTCTTGGCATGTCTGCAAAGAGCATGAAATCTGGCCCAGCTGGACACTGCTAGATATGTGCACAATGAGTTCTAACACAGCGTGAACCAGAAACCTTACCTAGAAATGTGCCAATAAAAAAAACTTTCAATGGCACATTTATCACAGGAGATGTAATATTAATAAACCAATTAGGCAGAAATGGTGTTATTCTCAAAAATATAATGTAGTTAATGAGATGTTCTCTATGCCGTTCAACCTGTCACAAGAAAGAAAAGAACTGGGATCAAGATAAAGTCAATATTGAAAACAATTTGCTTAATACAAAATACTGTATTTCAAATTCTCATCCTTGATAGTTCAGAGTTTATCCAACAGCAATGATCAAAAAGGAGCTTGAAAATGACAATGAACTGCTTATCAAATGCTATAAGAGCTAAATTAACTTGGGATGACAGTTTTAAGTTGGGCTTATAGCTTAATGTTACACTACTAACGATGGTTCTACACCAGCCTAGAAAATGATGGCTCAACAAGGATATTTTAAATCTAAAATGGCAAAATTAAACTTAGACTAGATATAAGAAACACATCTTTAATAACTAAACAAACTTGTTAATGCCTTTAACTTCCTACAATGTAAAGGGCTAGCTAGTATAGCACATCGATATACCTACCTTCCCATTTAAAAAAAAAACTCAGATCTTTATTTTATGTTATTACAGTATATATCATGAGTAAATTCATTATCGATAAATGAGGTTAAAATATATGGAAATATTTAACCAATGAAATATAAACAATGATTACATTACTGCTAGTACTTCCTTTGTTTTTTATTTGTATTTTTTAATCCTTACTCGAGGATTTTTTTTTTAAATTTATCTTCAGATACAGTGAGAGGGAAGGAGGGAAAGAGGGACAGAGGGAGGGAGGAAGGGAGAGACAGAGACAGAGAGACAGAGAGACACACATCGACTGGTTGCCTCCTGCACAAGCCCTGACCTCAACCAAGGTACATGCCCTTGACTGAAATCGAACCCACGACTCACTGGTCTTTGGGCCAATGCTCTAACTGCTGAGCCAAACTGGCCAGTGCTAATACTTCCTTTGAATAATAACAAGCTCACTTACAGAAAATAAATGGCTATTCCAAAAAAATACATGTAGAATAAATTTTATTTTTTTATTGATTTTATTGATTTTGAGAGAGATATAAAATTGTTATTCCACTATTTATGCATTCATTGATTGCTTCTTGTATGTGCCCTGACCAGGGATCGAACTGAAAACATTGATATATTGGGACGATGCTCTATCCAACTGAGCTACCCAGCCAGGGCTGCAGGTAATTTTATTCTTTTCCAAAACAAAATTTTTTTGATTTTAGAGAGACAGGAAGGGAAAGGAAGAGAGAGACAGAAACATCCATGAGAGAGAACATTGACTGGCAGCCTCCTGCATGCCACCCACTGGGGATTTGGCCCACAACCTGGGCATGTGCCCTGAGCAGGAATCAAACTGGTGAACTCTTGGTGCATGGGTCAACGCTCAACCACTGAGTCATACTGGCTGGGCTGTAATTTAATTTTAATATTCAGTACATATGTGGTAAAGTGAGATGAGCACTTGACTAGAAGTCCAGAGAGCTGAGATTCTAGATCTTACTTTATAAGTAAATGATTGCTCTAGGTCAAATGCTTAATTTCTGTTAATATGCTAATCAGTAAAACAAAGGAATAAGGCAACGATAATCTCTAAAATTCCTCTGAGATTTAAGTAAAAACAGCATTTTCTTAGCAATACTATGTCAGAGTTTTCTGTGTAGTATTGTTTATATTATTGCTAGTCTTTGCAGAGACCCTGACTGAAGGTAACAGTTGTTCCCACTGGCGAAATGCATTAAAGACGTTTTTCAGTGACCCACTGACAACATGACTACATCAACACAAAACAGGTGAGGCATCTAAATATGAGGATGCCTTTACATCAACATTTTGACTTCTCTGCTCTAACTGAATTTGCTAGAAATGAAGAATTAACATTACTGCTACAGGTACTAAAATTTTGTATTTGAAATTATTAGCATGCATTATTTGCCTCCTACTTGATTTTATTTTGGCCAAAAGATCATTATCATTAAAGCCCTGAATCTGAGTTAATTTATGTAGGGACTATTTATTAACCTCCCAATTAGCCAAATAATTACATTAAATAATTTAAATATACATATTTACCTGCTGTGACCATTTTACTGCTTTCTCTGTTAGATATTTGTATACAACGGGTCTCCCAACTAAGTAGGAGAGCATATAGCAGAATGAGGCACCGAGTCCAGAACACTAGAAAATAACAAGAAGACATAAGCATTTTGTAGTTACTCATATGGATATATTCACCTAAGGAAAAGCTGAACTAGTTTACTTCTTTTGGGGCGTGGGAAGGATAATCTGCATGACATTTCTTGTGCAGAGAGTAAGAACCCATTTGATCTAGTCCTTTCTCGGACCAAATTATAACTAAATTGAACCAGCTAAAACAAACTGGCAGTTATGATTAAACTTAGTGACTATATCTAAACAGTTAATGTTAGCCTTTAGCCTAAGAATAAAACTTCAAGAGCCAATTTTATCTTTCAATTGCTATACTTGAAAACCCCAACCCCAGCCCTGGGACTTAACTCATTTTGTCCACTAATACTCTTGGAGTATTTGAATTACAAAATATAACAGAGGAAGGAAAGGTTAAAATAGCCTATAAGTGCAATTAAGTCTACGATATCCTGTTCTAAGAAAAACAAACAAACAAAAAGCTAACTATATAACATCTCCTTATGGAGGGACTTCACAGATTAACATTAAATGCCTCTTAAAACTAACATACATAAATAAGTGGGACTAGTAATGCCATCCTCCTCCTCCTCGTTTTATTTAAAACTCTGTTTTTTTCTAGTTTCCCAATTTGATTTAATATACTTACCAAACAAACAAGAAATAAGGCTAGTGGAAAGGGATAAAGAAACCCTGAGAGTATACTGAGAAATATAGAACCTGGAATAGCAAATGTCTGCAAGCTAACTTTTAAGTTAAGGATTAAAACATAATTAAGTGGAATTTTTAAAAAACATATCCAACATTTCGGGGAAAAAAGTATCAATACACAAGTTATCATGTTAATAAGGTTATATCTGTATTAAAAATAAAGTAAAATTATATCCAAAAGTTTAAAAGATATATGACTCCTCAGTTGTAATGCCTTCGTCTCTAAATTGACCATTCACTAACACATGCCAAGAATTTGGCACTTTGGCAAAAAAAAAAAAAAAAAACACACACAGAAGAAAAAGAAGAAAGAGAACAAAAAAGGTCTCCAGTAATTTTTTTTTTGTAATCCTCACCTGAGGACATTTTTCCATTTTTTGTTCAGGTAGAGTTGGAGGGAGAGAGAGGAAGAGAGAGAGAGAAACATTGACGTGAAAGGGACACATCGAGTGGCTGCCACCCGCACGACCAACCAGGGCCCGGGACAAACTGCAACCGAGGTACGTGCCCTTAGCGAGAAAGGGACCCGGGTCTCTCGGGACCACAGACTAATGCTCTAACCGCTGAGCCAAACTGGCCAAAGCTCCAGTTATTTTTTAAATATGCTTCTCTAATGCATTGCACTTACTCCCAAATATTTTCAGAAAACATGAGTTCTGTGGAAATCTAGGTACATATAAGGTATAATTGCTTATTTCTAATATAACTTTATAGACATTTGCCTAAGTTCACTAATCTAAAAAAAGATACGGGTTACAGCCCTAGCCAGTTTGGCTCCAGGGTGGGGAACGTCCAGACAGAGAGCCACATGAGGCCCACGCAATCAATACCTGCTAACATCACATGCCTCACCAAATTAGCCTGACCAAATATAGCAGGCTAATATTTAAGCTGATAATTTTGTATGGTCCTTGAATGATGCTATAAATATCCAATGAACCTTGGCAGAAAAAAGATTCCCCATCCGTGAGTCAGCCTGTGGACCAGAGTCTTGGGTTCAATTCCCAGCTAAGGGCACATACCCGGGTTGCAGGTTGGATCCCCAGCACCCGCGTCAAGGTCACACAGGAGGCACCCAATTGATGTTTCTCTGTTTCTCTCTCCCTCCCTCTCTAAGGAAAAAAAAAAATCAATGGAAAAATATCCTCAGGTGAGGATTTCAAAAAGAAAAAAGTGAAGAGCGAAGAGCAAAGAACCCTGGCCAGTTTGGCTCAGCGGTTAGAGCATTGGCCTGTAGACCAGAGAGTCCCGGGTTTGGTTCCCACTAAGACAGTGGTTCTCAACCTGTGGGTCATGACCCCTTTGGGGGTTGAACGACCCTTTCACAGGGGTGGCCTAAGACCATCAGAAAACACTTATTTCCGATGGTCTTAGAAACCAAGACACTGCTCCTCTATCCGTCTCTCGGTGGGTCTGCCCACATGCAGATATGCCCACAGACAACATGAGGAACTGTATTAAAGGGTCTCGGCATTAGGAAGGTTGAGAACCACTGCGCTAAGGGCATGTACCTCGGTTGTGGTTCGTCCCCAGCCCCTGTTGGGGTTGTGTGGGTGGCAACCAGTCAATGTGTCTCTCTCACATCGATGTTTCTTTCTCACATCAATGTTTCTCTCTCTTCCCCCCTCTCTCCCTCCCGCTCTATCTGAAGATACATGCAAGAATGTCCTCGGGTGAGGATTAAAAGAAAAGAAAAAAGATAGGGGTTATAAAATATAGTAAAAGTCACAGACCTTATTTTAAAAACAATTATGCTTTCTCTACTTTCCTTTAGTTGCCAGTTTTGGCTTGGACCCTTTTTACCCCTAACATGATTTACTTTCAAGGTCAGTCGAACTGAGTGAACACCCTCAATATCTCTCCTTCCTACCTGAAAATTCCTATTTTTATCCATTAATTCTCCCTCTCCTTCTTTCTCTAGTTTCCACTTCACTCATTTTCATTTTAATGTTCTTCCTCCTGGGTTCTTACACCTTTTGCTCTTTTACAGGAGTTGTCCTGTTTAAAATGACTTAGATGGCTATAAAGAAAATCTAGGCTTTCCTTGACTGAAGTATCCTATCCAGCTACTGTCCTCATCTTTCTTCCTCACGGGACAGCCTCTCTGCCCTTACCACCCGGATTACCCATCCAAAACTCTATTGAAACTTCCTCTTGACTAAAATTAATGACTTTTCTCAAGTCACTTTTTTCTTCTTTTTTTATCCTCACCCGAGGATATTTTTTTCGTTTTTTGTTCAGATAGAGTGGGACGAAGAGAGAGAGAGAGAAACATCGACGTGAAAGGGACACATCAAGTGGTCGCCACCCACACGACCCAACCAGGGCTGGGGACAAACTGCAATCGAGGTACATGCCCTTAGCGGGAACCGAACCTGGGTCTCTCTGGACCGCAGGCTGACGCTCTAACCACTGAGCCAAACTGGCCAGGGCTCAAGACATTTTTTAATGATTCCTATATAGGATTAAACATCCTCTCGCATTAGAAAAAATTCACTTTTCGCCTAGCTAGTGTGGCTCAGAGGATTGAGCGCAATCCCATGGGCTGAGAGATCCTAGTTCAATCCCCAGTCAGGGCACATGCCCAGGTTGCGGACTTGATCCCTGGTGGGGGCAGTACAGGAGACAGCTGCTCCATGTTTCTCTCTCACATCAGTGTTTCTCTCTCTCCCTTCCTCTCTCTCTCTAAAAAAATCAATAACATATATTTTTTAAATTTACTTTTCTTCTACATTAAAGATCATTCCATCTCTAGTGTTTTTCTTCTCTCCCTCAAATCTAGGATTTCTCTACTATTCTGTTAGCCATACTCTAATCTCCCTTTCCTTTGATCAATTCAGAAATTTCCATGGCTTCAAGTATAAAGCAATATATGTTGATAACTGAATTCCTATCTCGGATTCAATCTTTCCAAATCAACCACCAGTCTCATATTTTCCATCTATCTACTGGATGCCTCCATTAAAAATAAAATTTATTAATTTATTTATTACAGGGCTCCTCAGAACCTGATTGAAAAGTTTCAAGCACCTATGAAAGTAGAGAAACTAGTATGATGATATCCTACATACCCATACACAGCTTCAACAACTAACACACAACCAATCTTGTTTTATCTTTTTCCCTTACACTGGATTATTTTGAAGAAAATCCCAGACATAGCAATTTATGTGCAACTACTTTCATACCTTCAGAAGATAAGGATTCCTTTTTTGTTTGTTTAATCCTCACCTGAGGACATTTTTATATTTATCTTCAGATAGAGCAGGAGGGAGAGGGTAGGAAGAGAAAGAAACATCAATGTGAGAGAGACACATCAACTGGCCGCCACCCACACAACCCCAAAGGGAGGCAGGGGACAAACTGCAACCGAGATATGTGGCCCTAGCGGAAACCAAACCCAGGTCTCTCTGGTCCATGGGCCGACACTCTAACCACTGAGCCAAACCAGCTAGGGCAGGATTCCTTTTCTTTTTTAACATAATACCATTGTCAGCCTTAAATAGTTTTTTAATTAAAATTTTTTTGTCCTCCAGAGGACATTTTTTTTTTTTTCCATTTATCTTCAGATAGAGCGGGAGGGAGAGAAGGAGGAAGAGAGAGAAACATCAACTGGTTGCCACCCACACAACCCCAACCAGGGCCGGGGACAAACTACAACCAAGGTACATGTCATTAGCAAGAACTGAACCCGGGTCTCTCCAGGCCGCAGGCCAATGCTTTACCGCTGGGCCAAACTGGCCAGGGGCAGACTTCAACAGTTTTACTGTAATTCTTACTATCCCGAATATCTATTTAGTCTGTGTTCAGATTTCCCAAACGCCTCATAAATTTTTTCTTTCACAGCTAATTTGTTCAAATTAGGATTTAAAATAAAAAAGTCCAAACATCGTATTGATCACTATATTACTTAAGTATAGATTCCTTTTCTTTTTTTCTTCCAATTTATTTGTTGAAGAAACCAGATCATTTGTAGAATTAATCACTTTTTAAATTTTGCCTATTAGCCCTGGCCAGTTTTGCTCACTGGTTAGAGCACTGGCCCAAGGACCAAAGGGTCCTGAGTTCGATTTCTGATCAACAGCACATACTTCGGTTGCAGGTTTGATCCCCAGCCCCAGTTGGGGTCACACAGGAGGCAACCAATCAATGTGTCTCTCTCACATCAGTGTTTCTCTCTCTCTCCGTCCCTTCTACTTTATTTAAAAATCAATGAAAAAATATCATCGGGTGAAGATTAACTACCAAAAAAAAATTTTGCCTATTGTATCCCTGTCCTTTATCTTGCAGTATTAATAAAGCCATTTTCGCCCTGGCCGGTTTGGCTCAGCGGTTAGAGCGTAGGCCTGCGGTCCTGAGAGACCTGGGTTCGGTTCCCGCTAGGGGCGCGTGCCTCGGCTGCAGTCTGTCCCCGGCCCTGGTTGGTCGTGCGGGTGGCAGCCACTCGATGTGTTCCTTTCACATCGATGTTTCTCTCTCTCTCTCTGTTCCTCTCTCTCCCTCCCACTCTACCTGAACAAAAAATGGAAAAATGTCCTCTGGTGAGGATTAAAAAAAATAAATAAAGCCATTTTCTGTACATGGGAATGTGATTTGAGCTTAACTTTCTAGCTCTGTTAAGATTTGTATTTCTTTTCTCTTACATTGAAAAATATTAGTTCTTAATGTCACAATTACCTATTTGCTTTAATACTAATATATATTATATAAAATATATATTATAAAATGTTTTTACATATTTAAGAATTTCAGTATATTACTAATATAAATGTCCTTCATATTTATCACAGAGAGAATATACAGTCCAATTATTGTTTTCAAGGTTATTTGAGATAATTCCTCTAGATAGTCCACACCTCCCAACTTAATACACTATTAAATTCATTTCATTTTGCTTCAAGATTTTTAATTTTTTTTTTTTTTTTATCCTCACCTGAGGACATTTTTCCATTTTTTTGTTCAGACAGAGCGGGAAGGAGAGAGAGGAAGAGAGAGAGAGAGAAACATCGACGTGAAAGGGACACATCAAGTG